CCCTTTCTCTATCATAGCACATTTTATCAAGGTTGGAAGTTCAATTTTTAGTACATCATCTTCTGCTCCAAATCTTTTTGGGGTGTTATTGTGTCAATGGTACTCTCCTATCCTGAGTATTATATGTGCTCACATAATTATGATGCTATTCATATCTACAATATATTATTGTGTGACATCAATTAGCTAGCACATACATGATATACTACAAGTCTAAATGAGATCCCAAACAAGATCTGTTTGGGATGTTATATATGTCTAATAAAGACATCAATGTTTGAAACATAAGCTATTGGATCAATATGTATAAGATTGTCAATGGCCACTCTTCCCACCATTGTATAGCTTTGCATTGAGCAGGCAATTTTAGATTGCTATATACTCTTTATCAATTCCTCTGCAACTATCTTGATCTCCCAAGTCTGTCAACAATACATGTTCTCTCATAGGTTGCAAGCCATAGTTTGAAATCATATCTTCTATGAACTTCTCCCAAGCTTCATGGACTCACTGATGTGACTAAAGGTGATCAAAACCACAAAGAATAAGATCTCATTAGGATCACTACCTCAAGCTGGAGTGAGTTGAAATGATTCATAGCTTGTCAGTAGCCATCCAAGCATTATCAGGCATTGCATGGAAGGCAGATGTAGTGTTAACAAGCTACTTGGATTGAGTATTCTTGGCAATGATCATGTTCCACAAGAAAGCATAGTGTTTGGGCATTGTCTCAAAAATCTTCTTCATATGCAGCTATGGTATACCCAATACCATCCAGATATGCGGTCAAACACATCCATAGCTCAAACAATTCAAATGCCATGATGATCATATTCCACAACACAACATACATCAGATCCACTGCTTGATTGAGGCATCCATTTTGCCCAGGCTACTGGAGAGTGAAGTGACATTCAATCTTTGCCTGTCAGTGCCACCAAAACCAGCAAGAATTGCAAATAGGTGGAGAAACTACAGGTTTGATGTGTGAAGCTGAGCTAGTTGTGGTTTCCTCCTTGAAATTACTGTTCCCAATCTCAGAACTCTACAAACGGCTGTTGGTGTGTTTGGGCATGCCAGCGAATAAATCTCCAGTCTGTTGCATCACAGATCATGAGACTTTTTTGTGTTTGTGTTTGCCAAAGTCTTGAATTCATCTTGTGCATTACAAACGATTAAAGCTCGTGGAAGCTATTGTCGATATGGTATACTCAAGGCTTGGTCTATGGTAAGGGATTCTTGAAAAGCTTGTATCTTTAAGACCTTATTTTGGACATGTCCTTTTCGAGGAAGGCTTATGGCAGCAGCAGCAGCAATAAGGGTTACAGCGGCAGTAGCAATATATAGAGTTGTTTATAGTCCACTTCTGCCCAACTAGAAAGTATAGGACTCTATCTACATGAATGCAATGCATTGCTCCTTCCCTTTTAGTCTCTTTTGTCTTGGTTGTCTTGTCCAAAGTGGTCCACACCCTGGAGGTACCATGTGATTTGCTGCAAATGGCCATCACTAAGTATGGATGCTTGATCCCACTGCTGCCAGGGGAGGGGTGTCTGGTCCTGTAGATGTTGATAGCTTAGGCATTGATAGAGAACACCTCCACCTGACCAGGGTCACATTGCTGGCATAGACAGTGCTCTCAAGGGATATGTGGCATCTAAACTCCACTTGTAAACCGTGTGCTCCACAGCTGTAGGTAGCAAGGATTGTGCATATCCATGGAGATCCAAGTGTCACCCAGTATATGGCATATTTTGTGGTGCCCTCAGTTATACATGCTAACCAATTTTGTATGGCCTGGTTCATCCATACTGGATAATCGTCAAATGGATCGGACAGTTCTAGATTCAAACCCAGCGATTCGGTCCATGCCTTTAACTTGTGCCACCAGCCACCAATACATGAGGCTGATGGAATCTTCCATTGCTTGAGTGGCCAACGATCTCTTCCAGAGGCTTTCACAAGAACAATGGTCCTCTTCGATGCCAAGATATCTAGTGGCAGTAAACCACTTTCTCGGACCAAGATTGCAGCCACACCTGGAACTCGTGGTTGATGAATTGGATGTTGAGGTATCCCATATGGCTCAAACCTTGGCAAAATAGAATGCCCGTTTTGCCTTCTAGCTAGTCACAACATTATTGTGACAATCCAATTAGAGACTGTAATAGGCAAATTGTGCGGCTTTCACTCTCTTTGACCCCATGTGTCCAGGTCCCTGGCGATGTAGAGTGTAGCCAAGGTACTTGTATGCTCGCACTGGTTTGCCATTGTAGAGACATGTGTGAGTGGGGGATTGCCAAAGATCATAATCTGTGTTTTGGAGAGTGCCCGCTTGCATGCAAAATTGTGCGAGTGTGTCAAACAAGCGTTGTATGGTTGTGATATTTGGTGCCGCTAAAAAGAAGTCATCAGCATAGAGGAGCAGAAAGAGATACATCCCAGAAAGTTGGTATACTGTGAAATTCTCTCCCTAGATCATTGTCTCTAGTGCGCCAATATAGATTGTGAAGAGGGTTGGTGACAAGGGACAGCCTTGTCAAACTCCCATAGTTGAAGGGACTATATCCCCTGCAAACATCTAGAGTTTCACTATCCTGTACAACTCCACAATCACCGCAACAAGTGGAGTGGGTGCCTCCAAATGGAGGAGCTGATCAATTCCGAAGTTTTGCGGGACCAAGTCAAATGACTGAGCAAAATCTACAAAGCCTAAGATGAACACCTTGCTCCACCCCAGTCTGGTGTGTTCCATTAACACGTGATCCTGATGTTTACGCGTACGGAAGCTTGCTTGCTTGCAGGATCTGATTTTCCTCAGCCCATGCTGATATTTTTTTTCAACTTGTTTCACAAAGATTTTCTTGAAGATGCTGGAGACTGCAATGGTTCAATAGTTGGTCAGATCTCCCCTTTTGTGTATGGGCACGACTCTGTTAACTGTCCATGATTCCGGGAGGCCTGTGTTCCAGAGGCGATTGATGATTGGTGTGAGGGCTTCTGACACGCATTGCTGTCATCCCGACTCCAGCGGGATGAAGTCTAGATTCTTGTTCCAGGGAAGTTTTCCATATTCCCTGTTGGTTTGTTGATGTAGGTGCTTCTCCCAAATCTTTTTGTCTTGCAGGTGGATTGGTTTTGGCTTTTTGAATACCCTATATGCCTATTTGAGATTGTGGCGCTTGTACGCTGAAAGGCTTTTCTCAACTGAGCCAGTGGCTGGGCTGTCTGCCAACGGGCCTGCACGCACAAAAGATATGCCTATGCACAATCCTCATCCCACCAGGAGCTGGCGGGCTCCTGATAATCTCTGGCTCAGATAAATGCAATCTGGAGGTCGATCGCTGCGTACACGGTAAGAACTTAAATTTTGTAGTTCGTTCTCTTTTGTAGCTGCTCTCGTAATGGCCTCTGAGGAGAAGTGGAGACGTCAGAGTCTTTGGAAAAGAGTCGAACAATTTTCTGAACTCACCAGCAAGTGAGTTTTTATATTCCCACTAGCTCCTATCTACAGGGACGCCCTGAAAGCAGGGTTTCGTGTGTTTGCTGTTGTACCTGCGAATTCTTCCCGGTCAGGATCTCCGGTCTAGCTAGTTCTTACTGCGATTTAATTTGACGCTTTGTTTTCCTGCACATCAAGCTATGTGCTTCTCATACTAACAGATCTCTACTTTCACCAGAGAGTAGGGACCAACATAGACATAAATGCTGTCGCAACGTCCAGACTATAACCTTAAACTTTAGTTCTATGGCTTCTTACGTTATTATGAAACTATGAACTTAAACAGCAAGCCATTCTATTTTGCTAGTAAGTTTGCTCGCATCTAAGCAGGAAAACGGGAGCCCTCTACAGAGGACAGCTTATGAGCCGCTTTGTGACCTCCACGGCTCAGTTCGACGCTCGGATTCTATATCTGCCACGTGTTTTGCCATGTAGGCGTGTATACTTGACGTGGCAGTTGATGCCTGAAGATAAGGTGAAAATCTGTAGATTGGAACAATGCCGGCTTTGATGCAGCAGCTAAATCCCCGGGCGTGGCCGGCAGTGGCGCCCTCGTCGTGGCCCTCCTCGCGCGCGCTTTGGAATCACTGTGGAGGTGGAGCGATTGGATTGAATGTAAATTTGGTGCAAACACATTCTAGGGAAACGCGGATTTGGCAACGAAGCTCCAGTTTTGCGAGGCTTTTCGCTGCCGCTGCTGTGGACACGAAATGGCTTCTCGAGCCCATAGGTGTGAAGAATAGGAGTGTTTCTCATGACTTTCTTCTTTTTTTCTTTGATGAGATTTTAATGGGTGTAGGAGATGGTGATTGCCGCCACATAGGCGAAGAAGTTCCTTTGCCAAGTGCATTTGAGCTCTCTACTGTAAGTCAAAAACCCATGACCTCTCTACTTTTTTTATTTGATGGGTCTACTTTAGATTGATAATCTAGAGTTTGATCTTGCTAATAGGATGCGGCCACGGTGGGACGTGTGGCTGACAAGGCAGACATTGTAATTCCAGTTGGAACAGGTAATTGTTTCACATAATGTGTAATTTCTTCGTCTCAATTTTGTTTTAGTTTCTGGATTACATGCCCGGCTTGAGAAGAGAGATTCGATGCTTATGGTAACTGATTTAGACAGTACCAACGGGACCTTCGTTAATAACAGGAGAGTGAGACCTGGAGCTGTCACTCCAGTTCCCCCGGGCAGCTCAATCACATTTGGTACAAGATGATACAAAATAGTAATTTTTATCTTATGCATATACTGTTTTGCTGCAGGTGATGAGCATTTAGCTCAATTTAAAGTTTCCATGATTGAGAAAGGAGAAGAGAACACTGAGTCGATCTACATAGAAGCTCAGTTTACCGAAGCTGAGGATTAAGCTCTGTCTGTCATTTTTCAAGACATAAGTCCTTTACCCTTTATTAATTTAGTAGTTTGTAATTTAGCCTTTTATGTTAAAAGTTTTAAACCAGGGTAATTGTCCTAACCATGCAGTTAACTTGTGGGAGTGGATAACTTGACGAGCCCTTGGCACTCAATACTTAGGGGCTATGGCTACAGATGTGAGAAAAGAGGAGCTTGTGCTGCGGCTTCTGGAAGCCAAGCAAAATGCAGGGAAGAGCTTCAACCAGATTGCCCAAGAGATGGGTGTCACGAATTTATATGCTGCTCAATTGTTTCACCGCCAGGCACCGCTTTGCAGAGCGCAAGCCCAGCGTTTGCAAATGGCGGTTCCTACACTCTCTGACGAGCTCATTCGGGCCATGGAAGCCATCCCACTTCGCTCACTGGCTCCTGGGATCATTCAAGACCCAACAATCTACAGGTACATGGTTTTCACTTCCGAAAACATTTTCCTTTCTGTTTCATATCTCTGTTTTTCCGAAGGTTTCGAGAGGTTATTGTGCATTATTCTGAAACTTTGAGGGCCATTATCCAGGAGGAGTTTGGGAACAGAGTGTAAGTGCTCGCTTCAAAGAAGTGTGTGATTGATATTTGATGGCTTCCGCAAATGTACAGCATGCTAGAAGGTGACTTCAAGTGTGACTTGCAAAAGATCCAAGGAAAATATGGTGAAGATCGTGTGCTGCTTACAATGGTTGGAAGCTTTGAGCCCGACGGTATTGTTCCAACTCCACAATTCCAAATCGAAGAAGCCACTGTGGAAGACATTCAAGAAGCACTGAAAGCAGGAACTCTAACATCAAAACAGCTGGTGGAGTTTTACATTGCTCGGATCACGCGGCTGAATCCCCAGCTCAAAGCCGTGATCGAGGTGTCTCCCGATGCATTGGAGCTCGCCAATGAAGCCGATACTTACAGGAAACAACACGGAGCCGAGAGTTGCAAAGGTTTGCATTTCAGTTTATATAATTTTGTGATATTTTTCTGTGTGTTTTTTTCTGTTCTGTCGTAGGCTTGCGCGGCATTCCAATTCTTCTCAAGGACAATATCGCCACGAAGGACAAGCTCCAGACCACGGCTGGATCTCTGGCTCTGGTCGATTCCATTGTTCCAAGAGACGCTGGCGTTGTGAAGAAGTTACGTGACGCCGGTGCGATCATCTTCGGCAAAGCCAACCTTAGCGAGTGGATGTATTTCAGATCTACAGAAGCTCCGCATGGGTGGAGTCCCCGTGGTGGACAAACCATGGTATGTATAAGCTGATTCTTTTTTTCATTTCTGATCTTGCGATTGTTGTTGAAAACAGAATCCATATGATCCAGTCCAAACAACTTTCGGTTCCAGCAGCGGCTCCGCAGTCGGAGTTTCTGCAAACATGGCTACAGTCACTCTCGGGACGGAGACCGATGGCTCGATAATCAACCCGGCCAGTTTTGCTGCAGTCGTCGGGATCAAGCCCACGGTTGGACTCACGAGCCGAGCGGGAGTGATCCCGCTCTCGCATAATATGGACTCAGTCGGGTAATCAAGAGTTATGATCACGAAATTTTACAGCTTTTAACGCTTGGATTATCACAGGCCGATTTGCAGAACCATGAAAGATGCGGTCGAAGTTCTCGACGTGATCGTTGGTGTAGATGATCTCGACAGTGCTACTACTGCCGCGGCTGCATACATTCCCAGAGGAGGATACAAGCAGTTTCTGAAAAGGGATGGTCTTCGCGGGAAGAGGCTGGGCGTGCTTGCTGGAGAATACTTTGTCATCAAAGATATTTCTGGTGATATGGAGAAACTCTTTTCTCTGGCAATGTGAGTGACTGGGTTTTAAGTATCCTCGTTCATGCTTTGAAATCTTTGCTCTTTTTTTCTTTTCTTTCTTTGGGACAGAGCTAGAGGAGCAGTGATTGTCAAGGATCTGGAGCTGCCTAACGCTGAAGAGATCGTGAGCACAAAGAACGAGGATCTGGTGCTACAAATCGATTTCAAGCATGATCTTCAGAAGTATCTGTCCGAGCTCACCACAAGCAAAGTTCGCAGCCTCGAGGACGTGATTAGATTCAACGAGGAACACACAGACCAGGTAGGAACCGCTGAAAAAACTCTAAAATTTACACAAAACTGTGCAGAAACTAGATCGTTTTGGCCAAGATGTATTCATCGAAGCTCAAGCTCGGCAAGAGGATCAACAGTCGCAAGCATACAAAGATGCTCTCGCAAGGAACAAGTTCCTCACGGAGAATGGGATCGATTACTTGCTCCAGACGCACGATCTCCACGCGCTGGTGGCTCCAACTGCGGTGTCGGCAATCTCGCTCACAGCAGCCATCGCCGGATATCCTGCCATTTCGATCCCCGCAGGCTACGCTCCTCCCACCGGTTTTCCATTTGGGATTTGCTTCCTGGGAAACAAAGGCTCCGAGGGTGTTCTTATCGAGATAGCATACGCTCTAGAGCAAGCCAGTAACATTAGACATCCACCACCTTTATAAGAATAACATATAACTGACTTAACTAGTTTTCGTTCCACAGCAGCGGGAACAGCAGTGGCCGTTCGTTTGATTTTACACTGTGGATACTTACAAATATACTTGGTATAAAGTTTAGGGTTTGGCGGTCCGCATTAGCTAAGAGTGCTAGTAATCACCAGAATCTCGTCTCCGATTGTGATCGTGTTGCACTGCTACGGAGCTACATCGCTCCTCAAGGCCCTCCGTGATACGGCCTTCCATCGTATCTTTTCAATACAGCAGGCTGCTACAGGAATTCTTGCCGATCTGGTACCTACATCGCGTTCCAAAGCTCTCCTCAAGGCTCTCTTTGATAGTATTGTCCAGGTAAGGGATCCTCGATACACATGACGAATTAAAGCTGGTTTTCAATACCGCAGGACAAGAACGGACTCTTATCGATCTGGTATAGCTCCCTGTTGGTTCTGGACATTTTCTTTCCGAAAATGAAGGCTTACAGCAACGGGCAGTACAAGAAGGCTTATGACGGCAACGACAGCAACGGGCAGCACAAGAAGGCTTACGACGGCAACAACAGCAACGGGCAGCACAAGAAGGCTTACGACGGCGGCAGCAGCAACAGGAAGTTCACAAAGGAAAAGCCGAAGGAGGTGGACATTTTTGCAATCGAGGACGATTACGATCGTATGCAAGCAAGGTAAGCAAGGTTATATGGTTTGATGTTTACTTGCTTTTGTTTGTAACAGGTACGAGATCATAGGAACTCATCGTCCCGGTGAGAAGGAGGGATTACTCGTCGACCAATGCAGAAGATGTAAGCAGAGAGGTCATTGGGAAAGACACTGCAAGGGGGTAAGAAAGCTCACTTATTGAATTTTTGACTCTTTGTTTTTTTTTTTTTTTTTTTTTTTAGCCTGGAGTGGATCCTTTTGCTCATGAACAAAAGAAATGCTACCTCTGCCTAGCGAAGGGACACGATACTTATCACTGTTCAAGAGATCCCCTGCGAAATGAGGACTGGGCAGAGAGGACTTACACTGGACCAATGAAGAGAATTCATCTTGGAGTTTGTATCAGTTTCTATTCTCTGTTTCTTTGTATGTTTATTTGTGTACGTTTTCAGGTGGGTTATATCGTTCAGGTAGCAGACTTCCCGCAATACCATCCTCGTTTCTGCGTCCAACGGATTGAATACGAAAACCTCAAACGGATCTGCAAAAAACATCCAGACTTGGGAATCTTCATTGTGCCTGAGCCACCCCGCCCTCTTGCATCTCAAATCTGGGAAGCTTTTCAGGGACTCGATGGATTTCTCAACGCAGGCCTAGGCTTCGAGTTATACAAATCCAAGGAAGAAATGCCTCCAGGGTATAACCGGTATGCAGCTGCAGATGAAGCATTGATTGAAGAATTGAAGAGCAAAGGAGAACTGGATGAGTTTGAGTATGCTTCTCTGCTAAACAGTATACGAATGAATGAATGAAAATAAAGTAAAAATAGATAGGAGTGGAAAGGCATCTAGACCTTGGAGATTAAACCATCGGGGTGACACTAGAGAGCTATAAAGGTTACTGTTTTTGGCGTGTTCCCGCTCAAACGTTTTTCTCCCAGGGTTTTAGGTGGAAGCGATCGTCCCCGCATGATTTCTGGCCTGAACCTCCAGAAGTTTTTATCATCTAGTTTCTTTGCATTAATCTATAGGTTACTGTGTTGATTAGTCTGGGAAGACGTTCAATATTTATGTGATGGTTGTTTCTCAAGTCCATCCTTTGTACACAGCCAAGGAAAGTAGCAGCTTTTGCTCTTACTCGACGGGTTGCCAAAGAATGCCACGGCTGTTACGAGAAGATAAATTCCATTGGCACCTTGTATACAGGGATCAACAGGACCTTGCCAAAATGGTCTACACCATGGATCACGTACTGCTTCAACTTTATCTCTCGACTAGAAATCTCGACTGGTTCAGCTGCATTGTGGTGGATGAAGCACACGAGCGAAGCCTGAGCATCGATTTACTCCTAGCAGTACTGAAGGAATGTATGCGTGCATGGTCGGACTTGAGACTCATCATCATGCCAGCTACAGCCAATGCAGAACTTTTCAGCGACTACTTTTGCATCGAACACTTGTCGTTCCTGGAAGGAAGTACCCAGTTGAGATCTGCGCAGGAATGCCAACATCGACAACCATGTAACAAGGACAATGGAAAGAGTTTGTGAGCTCCATAGGGACGTTGATGATGGAGATATAGCTTTTTTTCACATCCCAGACGGATATGCCATGCGCGCTTGTTTCATGGAAGGCTTCGTCAAGAGGATCAGCAACTGGTATTCAAGGCAGCATTATCTGGTACAAGAAAGATAGTCTTTGGAACAAATATCACCGAGACATCTTTAACGATTACGATGATCTTCCTTGAACCATGTAGTTGATACTCACTTTCTCAGCTACTAGGTACGTGGTGGATCTAGGATTGTCAAAGTAAGCCATCTTTGATCCACAGACTGGGATGATAACTCTGGAGCTTATGGCAATCAGTTAAAGCTCTGCCACTCAAGAAGCTGGTCATGCAGGGCACACTAGTTCTAGTGTCTGCTGCTGGGGACTTTTGAAATTTCCCGTTTGCACATGGGGATAGTAGTTCTCAAGCTTCTGGTACTGATGTGGCAAACTCCATCTTTGTGGAGCCTCCCAGCATCAGTGCTATCAGTCACGCAATGATGAGTTTGTAGTGGTTGGAAGCCATAGCTAAGGATGATGAAGTGAAGAACTGGAGGCTCATGAACTTCGGATTAAAACTGGCCAAGGTTAGAGTGGAGCCACGGCTAGGCAAGATCATTCTCGACTGCCAGGCTCATGCGTGTGGTCAAGAAGGTGTGGTTCCTAGTACTCTGATATCATCTGTGATGACATCTTCTTTTGAGATGGCTTTGAAGAAGACAAGCTTATAGTATACTGTGCTTTTGTCATTGGCACAGATGCTTTTTGCAAGATCATTATTAACCACTTTGGGGTTAATTATCATTTAAGTAAGTAATTTCATAAACACATTGCTCACAATCACTAGGATATTATATAAAAATCACAATGGCTTGATTATCAATTAAGCAACATTATAATTGCTTGTCCAATCAAGGTTCCTATTTAGCATCAATTATTAAAAGAGATAAAGATTATATATGCAAATGTCAAAAAGATATTAGAAAAAGGTATTATTCAAAAGTCTCAGAATATATGAACATTATTTTATGACAAAGCCTAAGGAGTATTTGATTTTACATTAACTATTGTCAGTTAAACAATGTGATTATCTTGAATATATCCCTTCTTCCTCACACTTTAGATTGTTTTTAGAGAAATAATTGGTTCATCAAATTAAAATTTGATTTTAGATGTTAGCAAATGCTAATGGCTAAAGAGGATGTTCCTAAAATTCTTTTTTGTACTATTTGATTTATACAAGTTCATGGTGATATTATTCAATTTGAACAATGTTTTAGCAATTTTTTAGCAAATAAGGTTCTTTACAATATGTCAAAAGTGATTGGTGACTTCATCAATAATATTTTAATCCACTCATAAGGGATGTAAAAAAAGCACATTTATGATGTTTACAAGGTGTTAAATAAGTTGTGGGAATTTAGTTTGAAGCTAAAGAGGTCAAAGTGCGTATTTGAGTTTAAAGATATAACTTATTTTAGGTACTATATTTTTTGTGAAGATTTAAAAGTTGATCATAACAAACTTGTGGTTGTTATAAAGTTCTATACTCCAAAGTGTATGAATGATGTGCAATATTTTTTAGATAAGGTGTAATATCTCAATCATTTTATTGATTATTTTTTTGATCGTATTGCATAGTTGTAAGCATTACTGAAGTTATCAACATCATTTTTCATTTAGTTTAAAGATTGTAAAAGGGCACTTGTAGATTTGAAAGAACTATCTGTAAGCTTCTAAATTTGAACTTCCTAAGAGGTCACTTAGCCTAGTATTATTCAAACCCAAGTGTAAGGAACCAACTCGCCGAGGTGTCGTAGGCTAAAGGAACCCCGAAAGCATGACCAAAATGACAAAGAGTTCATCGGATGGGACCAAGTCGAAGATCGAGTCCAAGACCGACTCTAGGACCGAGTTCGAGATAGAGTCCGGAATCGAGTCCGAGACCGACTCGGGGACCGAGTTCGAGTCCGAGTTCGAGACCGAGTTCGAGACGGAGTCCGAGATCCGAAATCGGGTCCGAGACCGAGTCCGAGGTCGAGTCCGAGGTCGGGTCCGAGATCGGGTCCGAGATCGAGTCCGTGATCGAGTCCGAACCCGAATCCGAAGTCGGATCCGAAATCGGGTCCGAGATCGAGCCAGAGACTAAGTCCAAATACTAATACGGGTCAAGGGGTGAAAGCCCAAAGCGTGCGTCTCCCAGGGGGGGGGGGCTGCAGGGGGTTCCAAAAGTATAGTAGGGATAAATTTTTGAGATTATCCATCTAGCCATGAGGAAAATAAGTCTATAGACTATAATTGGCCTAAAGAATATAATTGAGTATAACTGAGGCAACCAAAAACTCAGACATGTGAACCAGCAATCCTCTAGCACGACTCCATTAACAACACAAGTTGGAAGCTAATTATAAAGGTAAACAGAGAGGTCCAGGAACCAGTTTAGAAGGGACTCTCCAGTGGGGCTCCCAAACTGACTTGAGGTTGGGACTGGGACCGAGGGGCCTTGGGTGGGAGTGAGCATGGACTTGGTTGGTGCCGGAGGGGCCATCCAAGGAAGTGCTCAAGAGCAGCTCCCACTCCCGAAAGGGAAACCGATTGCGGTGCTCCCGGCTCATGTGGAGTGGTGCCCCACTTGAGTACCATGCGGCTCATTGGTCCTCGCCCTTCCTAGGGGCTTGGGCCTTCCTTCGGGATGGAAGTGGGGGGCGAGAGGTACCCATACCGGGCCGCTAGGCCACGGTGTTTCGCCCCAGCGTCCCGAAGCAAGTGTTGCACTCAAGACTTGGGATTTAGAGGGTCCCATGATCAAGTCTTGTGGTACCAAAGGATGTTAGGAACCTGGAAGCTTGGTGTGCTTGGCTGCTTGTGCTTGCGGGGAGTGTAGCCGAACCTTAAGTCCAGTCTAACCCGGGGAGGGGGATTGGGAGTGATTTGGGAATCCGTGGAAGGATGGCTAACACTCCGTTGCTCGTGCAGTGAGTAGCTGAAACCAAGTAGGAGCTGGTACCATAGGCGAGAACCTTGGCAAGGGAACTTAGCAAAAGCCAAGGCAGTGTTGGACGGATAGACGAGGTAAGCTGGCAAATTGGAAAGGAAAAATTTAAGAGCTTACATTTGGTATCGGAGCCTTTTCCTCAGTTCTAGCGAAGGATAGAGGCGGATTGCTGGGAGATGGCAAGGGCAGGGCGTAAGCGAACCCAGGTGGAGACGGAACCTCCGCCAGAGCTGGAGCCTCCGGTCGAACAAGAGGCTATGGATGAGGAATCCTTGCATGAGGAGGACTCCAGTGAGGAAACCTCCAAACAGGAGTCCGGTGGCGAGGTTCGGTCGTCCAAGGCTCGATTGGATGTGCTAGAAGGACAGTTGGCACAGACCAATGCCCTGCTGGAAACTCTCGTACGCAAGCTAAAGCGTGACGAGAGGCGGAAGAAAAAGAAAAAGACTGCGGATGCTGGTAGCGCAGAAGGTGCGGATCTTTCGGCCGGGACTGAGGCAAAACCAGACAAGGTCGAACAGACCGAAGTGGAATCAGTCCCTCAGGCAGTTCCCAAGTACAAACCAAAGCCCCCACCGGTCTTCAAGGGAGTGAATGACTATAAGGTGGTGGAGGATTGGTTTTACGATATGGAGGACTACTTCCGAGCGTTGCGGTTACCAAGCTCGGAGAAGGTCCCATGTGCAAAACCATACTTGGCAGATAATGCCAAGTCTTGGTGGAGAACAACGGAGGCCAACGAAGGACCGGTGGTCACTTAGGACATGATGAAGGCGAGGATCCGTGCAACATATGTTCCTCCGAATGCCACTCTGCATCTGAGGGATGAACTGAGTAGGCTGAAACAGACAGGAACCATCCAGGAATATGTGAATGGGTTCATGGCAAAGAGGATACTTGTCACGGACATGGGGGATATGGATGCGTTCCATGCCTTCATATCAGGTTTGCAAACTTGGGCTCGCGGTGAGGTGATGAGGTGGAACCCGACCAACTACAAGGAAGCGTTGGATGCGGCCATCAAGGTGCATTTCAACGATAACCTGCGAAAGGGGAACACGACAGGGTCGGGATCCACATTTAGCAAAGGGGCCAAACCAAGGGGAACGTATAGCAAGGGGAAATTCAAAAGGAGTTTCTCTAAGAATGAGTCCTCGGGGTTCCGGAAAGGCAAATCCGGTGGCCAGCGAGCGAGTACGTGGGGGAGTCAAGCGAAAAAGGACAAACCCACGGATAAGAAGGTCAAGTCGTATAGCAGCGTGGGAAACAACGTATGCTAC